AGTGTAGGTGAAATATTGGTAAAAAAATTGCTCTAGAGGGATTTTATATCAATATTATGTGGCTATGGAATAATGCCATATTTGGTTAAAAATAATTCGACATCGCAAGTACGTACTTGTTATGGTTATATTTTAACATTAGTAAATCATTCAACAAATTATACAAGATCGGTTTCAAGATTACAATTATTGAACACGATAAATCAGCCAACAATCGCACGTTTTCTATATTGGGGTTAATAACTTATTGAAAGATATATGGGTACTGTAATAATTTTACACGCTATATTTAAGCCCGATTTACAAATTTAGAATAACTGTTATGCACTTTGTTATTTATGCATTATATATAATAATAATAACAAACCATGTTGATAGTATCGTATTTTTTTTACTCTGTGGATATATAAATACCTGTAAACATAAATGTGTACTAGTTTAACACAACCACGTAATCAAAATAATCTCACAGCCATTAGTGTCTTATTTCGACATTGATTTGTGCTAGAAAAAAATAAGTACGTATTATGTCATACTATTATATGACTTAATAGTCCCACAGGTTCACTTTTATTATAAATCACAACTTATTCTTATTTAGTACATAACAATCTGATACAAAGCAATATACAATATAAATGACTCGGCATTGCAATAATCCAACACGAGTCAACTAACAATTTTTATTTGGCGTTATAATGATAATTTAACACTACATAACAAATAATTAAAATGTTTACTAAATTTGGCACCACAATTATAGAACATGACAAATCAACCATCACACATTTTCTATATTCGGGATTAGATTATTAATAACTTGTTGAAAGACGTATTTAGGCATGCTATTGCTATATTTAAGCCAGATCTACAAATTTAGAATAACTGTTACTTATACATTATCACGAAGTGCAAAAGTGTAATCCCAGGGTCCACTTTTTATCACATGATTTATTCTCTATGATAAAGAATACATGTTTTGGACATAATGTTAAATCAGGTTAATAATCATTATTTTCATTTAAGATCACCCGGTCCGAGATAAGCAAATCCGAGATGTGTGTAGATATCCTATATCTAGATCCATACTTATAGACTATGTTGTTATTATATTAACTTATAATTAAGATGTAATAGGTGCAATGAAGGTACAATGAAGGTACGATAAAGGTGCGTTGAAGGTGTAATAATTTTTTTTCTTATAAAAACGTATGGAAATATCATATCGTAAGTGTATCTTAGTTGGGTATCATTGAAATTAAATTTTTGTAATGTGGACCGATGAACAATTACACTTATTGATCAATCGATATAATTACTAACCAAATAATTAGGAGAATTGGAATGATAATAATGATAAATTGCTATCAAATAAAATAGATAGGTGTTAGTAGTATATTTCGTATTAAATCATGTATTAGCAATAAGTATATATAGAGCGAATATTTCCTTTGTTAATAAATCGTTGTTTTATTTGTACCATGACCCTGCAATTTTATTAGTTCCAAATTGTTATTACCTTGTCGAATCTCTGATTGGTTCCAGAATTACCCGTTAACATATGTCACTATGAACTTCTCGTGCCCCAGCAAAGCGAAAGCTCGAATTAATAATATTAGAAGACTAGTACTAAAAATTAATTACAAGAGAAAATACTATACCTGTAAATACAAGGCAAAAAAATCCTTATTACTCAGGATAATTCTTTCCATGCCTTAATTGAAGCCTTCCACTATAAGAAGTTCGAGTCTTGTTACTATAAAATCACACTAGATATTATATTAACTTCTTCAAATTGCCTGTGTAACCACACCTTCGAACTATCGCTATTATAAACATGTATTAACAGTACTTCAGATGTAGAGCATTCTCTTTCCAAGAGACAGTGGCTTAACAACAGTTATCTAGAATTTAATACGTACTTGTAAACACATATGTGCACTATTTTAACATAACCATGTCGTTAGTATTTATTATGTGTCATAGTATCATATTATTTAACAGTCCCATGGGTCTGCTTTTCTGCGATCACTTAATGTCAGGTTTATCAATTCGAATGTGCAATAAAAACTTGATCGGCTTTAATAATTAATGGCCTGCATTATTGCTTCGCAATGACCCAAAGGGTCTAAATTTTATGCGGTGTTACTCTCCTGCAGAATCATTTCTCATGGTCGATTTTTGTTAACAGTTAATAACTACGTGCTCTAGAACTTTTTTCTTACCTTATATAAGATCCCGTGATAAGAATAGGACTTAAAAAGGCTATAAAGGTAATGAGTATAATGTTCTTTATCAGTAGTTTGGTCCAAATTCATATGTTGCAGGAACTTGGAATCTCTGCCATCTCCGAGATCGTCAGATCTAAACCTACCTTAAGCAATCGTCGAATCTAAGGGGGGTTAATTTTACCAGAAAAAATAATAAAATAGGCTTAGTGTTTGGAACTTATGACCGAGTGGAGTTGCTTTGTTAAGTATGGTATGGTATTGTGTTAGGGTAACGTAATTATTTTTTTCAGAACTAGATCTGAAAGATTATGAATCATAGATTCGCCTCTTATTTCGAAAGCAATAGTACTATACGTTGTACCTGGGTTATGTAATATGAAATGAGGCAATATAAAATTGGCGAGTTTTTATCTTGTAAGGTGGGTTACCAATAACGTTATTTTTTGCTTATATATTTTTTACCTGATTTACTTGCCTGTATATTTTTTTTAAGTATTTCATTTTACTTCAGCTATGAAACTGAATTTTTTTCTTACTATGATTTTTTTTGTATTTAGGTATGAAAAATGAGCAGTAAAAAAAAAACCACCACTATCAAGACTAATGACACCAACACCACCCCCAAGACTAATGACACCAACACCACCCCCAAGACTAATAACGCCACCACCACGAGTAATAACACCACCACCTCCATGACTAATGATAGTAACACCCCCAAGACCAATAATAGCAATGCCTCCACGACTAATGATTCTAACACCTCCAGGGTTGTTATCCCAATAAGTTATGTACCTAGGTTGTATAGTCCCAGATCTTGTAAGTAAAGTTTATGATGTGTAAATATTTTATGCCTTGGCATAAGCTCCGCTCTACAAAATAATTTCTTCAAAATATAAACACCTGGGACTTAGTTTCCTTTTCTATTCAAACTAGACAATATCTCTGATAACCCGATTTCGCATTACTACGAACATGGAGATAGGGATAACAATTCTCTTAAAAGTTATATGTGGTATTCAGCTAGTGATGATAATGGTAGTGATAATGATTACGTTCCTTAATGTATAGTTAGAAAAAAATTATTATTTGTATGTTATATTGTCGTTCTGGCAAAAAAAATATTAAATAAAGAAGGGGCCCCACAGCCTTCCTATGTTTTATTTTTACATAATTTTTGTAATGCAATTTGCAATTATTAACCTATGCTCTTATGGTTACTATTGGGATTGAATTCTGATATTTATTTATATAACAATAGAGATGATAAGTTTTTGTATTGACATATTTGCCACTACCCCAAATACCCTCTATATGATTTCTTATATTTTCCTTTTTATGGTTTTTATTACATAAAGGACAGAGTACAGATTTATTAAAATCAAAATAATTACTATATTTAAAACTATGTTTCAAAGTTAAATAAGGAAATCATTCTAATACCATTTCAATAACATGTTGTTGCCTTTCTTCGAGGTCTTTAGGTAGAATAGAAATTGATGGTCGAAGTTTGAATAGTGTAGGTAGAACATTTATCTGTGGTACAAATAATGTCTTTTTTTCAGCATTCTTTTCGATTTGTGGGGACTCAAAAGTTTCAGAGTTTATCCAGGGATCGAATCTAGTTTTATTCTTATACCTTTTATATAACCTAGAATGAATTTTATCCATCAAAATACCTGGAAATTCTGTTAATTTAGCTTCTCATTCCAAATATTCAGGAGTCAATGTTTTATTAGCTTTTGTCTGTGTATCCATGTTCCTGTTTTATGTATATGACTGCACATCTTTCTAAATTAACAAAAACCAACAAAAAATAAATATGTCTCAGAAGACTTAAGTGAATTGTGCTAGTATAAGTTTAAAGTTCATGCTGTTACCTCAATTTCAATTCCACGCTGTTTACATTTAATATAGTAGGATCCAACTTCATATCTGCCTTCTATACCATTATCATGATCTAACTTGCATAGCGGGCATAAAGATTCATCAGTAATTCCATAATAATCGTCGTTTCCATCACTACCTTCTCAACATAAATTAGGATACTAATCCAATGTTTTGCTACAAAAATAGGATCGATCATAAGTTGGCTTAGATTGAGGTGCTTTCAAAGGAATATATGTATTAGTCAGATGAATTTTTGAAGTCACATAACTCTGATCATGAAGAATCTTCACAGTTTCATTGTGTGAACTTGTTACTGAATTCACATAATCTATTATATCTTGAATTTGTTGGTAATTGAGGCTTGAAATGGCATCTGCGCTATAAGAGACCTGTTTAATTTTCTCTAGTCCCAATGTATTGAATAATTTATATAATTTTCTAGCTCTAAGGATTTTTTGACGCAAATTCACATCTGTTATTTCAGGTAGAAGCTGTTTGATTTCTGAATATACCATAGATGTTGCAGTTTTTTTCTTAACTCCACCAGCAACAAGATTATCAATCCTTTTGTTATATTTTTCTATAAAGTAGCACCAGTATAAAATTGCTTCTTGACCAAGTTTATTAGCTTTCTTGAACATGCAAACTATATTTTGTGCGGTATCTGAAGATGGATCCTGTTCTTCTGAAGTTTGATCTGACGTAGATATATGTGCAGAGAACAATAACTGTTGCTTTAATTCCTGTTCCACAATTATATTTTTATCCAACTTGGCAATAACTTCATAATGCTGATCGGATTTAAGTTCCTCCATGCCACATGACTCCAATTGTGAAGAATCTTCACGGTTTTCAAGATTACATGCTAATTTGGATGCATTAACTTGATAAGACGCAATATGCTGAACCTATGCTCTCAGAACTAGTCTTATAAGATTGTGATAAGTCTTGCTCTGAAGTTAACATGTCTGTGACCTCAGGAATTTTAGTCACGTCCTGAGAAATTACAAGTGCCTCTTGATCTCTCTGTTTCTTTTCCTGCCTCCTCTCTAATCTCATTACTAATACTTTTCTTATATGCCTCATCCAAGAAATCAACCATTTCCTCATCGTTACCATCAAGGTCACTAGGTGCTCATCCTACTTCATTATTGAGTTGGTCTATTACAGAATCAGATACATCAACGGTTAGTACTGTCACCACTGGCATCGCTTCTTCTTCATTTTGTGTCTGACCAAATGACAACGCCATCCCATCCACTGCTGAACCCTGTTCTAATAATGCAAGTCTAGCCTCAAGCTCTCCGACTCTAGACTTGAGTTCAGCATTTTCAGCATCACGCCTTGCAT